TATATATATATATATATCGTCAGTAATAAAAGTTGTATACATTAGCTCAGTATAGAATAGCTAAATGAATGCAACAAAAATCTTTTTGACCATTTGGACACTACAGGACCTATTTATGTCAGGGAAAAGAGGTAAATGTATAGAAAAATACAAGATGTGAAACTGAAGATAGTGAAAAATGCAGTTCTACTTTCAAAACTTCCCTCTTCTAATAATTTTGTGGAGGAGACTATCAGAAAAATCACTACGTTCTAACTTTGCACAAACACTGCCTCTCGCCAGCTACCATATAAATGAGCAATGCAGTTATTTGTGAAATGTTTCATTTCCTCCCCATGCTGGGATAGTTGGAGAAAATCATTGTTTGGGACTTTGGAAGACACCAAGAGTGTCATAAATTCTTTGCACATCTTGGTATTTATTCCAAATGGGACCAGGATTGTATATAAATATTGGAACATTTTTATCATCTGAAGAGTTGTTATAAGAAGGCATTTTATCAAATGTTAAGTGTTTATTTATCCTTATATTATAAAAAGAATGTTTGTAAACAGTCGCTTTTAATCTTTATCATTTTGGAAGTTTCCAGAATACATTTTATATATCCTACACTATGAGATTATTGATTAGATATTTAGTTCTAAAAATAAGAAAAGGAAGGAGAGGTTTTTTTTTTTTTTCCCTCTAATATTTTGCTTAATTCATGAAAAAGGTAAGTCACCATTCTAGGACTGAAAGATGAAAATATTGTGATATTGATCAATTCCCCAAATATTCTTTCCTGATGCTTTTTAGAGAGCTATTAAAAGCCTACAAACCATGACTAAAGAAAGATAGTAAGAATTTAGTGAGTTCTAATGCCTCAGATTGGATTGTTTTGCCAACAATTTTAGCCTAGAATCCCTGTCATTGTGAAAAGAAAACTTTAAGCTAATAATTTTTCTGAAAATGGGAATAATAGTACATTTGAGCATTAGAGGCCACTGTAGCTAAATTTTCCTTATATTAATCATCTGTCAAAAATGTCTATGGTGTCTCACCTTTAAAGGATCCAGGAAATAGTGTGGGGACACATTTGAGAGAATCTGAGGTGTGGGAACGTGCTCTAAGCAAACACCACCTGCTGTTTTGGGGTTGGGTAGAACCTTGTAACTTGTCTTTCCCTGACCTTGGCTGCAGACAGAGTAAGGATGGAAATTACTAGGGGCGGTCCAACAGACACATCTGATGGACTTCAAGAAACATCTTGACCCCAATCAGTAAAATCCAATCCCTGCTCTGCATCTGAAAGGTTCTTTAGACTTCTCTGGGTGTGGTGGTACACTCCTTATAGAGAAGTTTTTTTAGCTCCTTCCCCACACCTAACAGCTAGTTCTCTGCATTAGAAAAGAAGATAAGATTTTCTCTTGATGGGATTACCACCAAGGGATGCACCTGGCCTGGTGTGACTTAAGCCCTCATAGCTTTGTTAATTGCTTCTTATTGTCTATAACCTGGCAACCAATCCATGAAGTGTCCTGAAACATACATGTGTTATGTCTCCTTGTACTATAAATAAAGACATCCAGTTCATCTGGGCGGGACAAAGTTGCTTGGGCTACCCAGGCTCAGGCTGCCTGTGTCCATTTCTACTCTCTCCCTTTGTCTCATTCTTTCTAATTCCCTGGTCCTGGCAAGATGGAGGGCTTTCTCTTTCTCGTCCTCTTTTGCATCCTCACCAGCCGCCCTCTGATCATGACTCAGCAGACCCAAGTCCTGGGGCGGATGCCCACAAAATAGAATCAGAGCTGCTACTTACTTTGGGGCATAGTTGCATACCAAGTAAACTGCACGTCGCCACACAGATCCCCAAACGTTCATGTTTTGGCAGGTATGAATTGCACATCCAATCCGGTTAGAAGTGGCCCAAACCATCTGTGAAAATAAATCAATGGACCGTTACTGAAGTCAGAAGACATGCGTTCACCAGAATAGTAAGAAAATAAGTCATAGGTCAAAAAATAACAAGGAAAAATATGAAAAAAATTTAAAAAAATAAATAAATAAAATAAAATAATAACAAGGTAGTTGAAGTAACCTGTGTATAATGTGTACACATGGGACCAAAACATCTCATAGGACATCTGGGGTTGCAGTCCTGGGGATATGGGAAGGCATAATCTTTCACTTCATCATACCATGGCTTGACCAACTGGAGAATAGAGCGGTACCTAAATATCAGAAAAATAAAAAAGAATTGAGAGTACAGCAGAGGTAATACATAGTGTGCTCATGTTACGTTGTAAATTAATTGCTCCTTTGGCAGATTATTGATGAAGATACAATAGTATAGACAACACTCACAATTACCTTTGCACGTAGAAGATCTCCATTTCTACAAGTAGGGCTAAGCATGAAAATGAGCTTATGAGCCTGTATTTGTCTAAGAATGTGTCTGGTCATTTCAAAAACAGAAAATGTAAGTATTTTGAGAACCATCAATATCTCATTTAAGCCTCATGAAAAATTCCCTTCAGGGGTCAGCAATTAACATAATGGCTATGTCACTGGACTCCCATGTAGTCGACTACGGTTCTAGTCCCGTACCCAGTGGCTTAAACTCGCACAGGGCACATTTGCATGTGTGTCCAAGATACTGAGAGGAGAATAGAGGAGAAAGGATTGTGGCGTGGCCATCCCCCCTGGGGGGTGATTTCTCACTTTCTGCTTCTCTGTCTCTCTCTGTCTTTCTGGCGAGCATACACACCCTGTAGCAAAAACTTCAAAAAAAAAATTCTCTTCAGCAGAATTTCATAAACAATCTAGAATTAGAAATTTAAAAATAATCATAATTCTAGGATTTGGAGCATTTTTCCCTTTAAATATGAATCACCCTAATTTTAGAAATAGCACACCTTATTTTCCTTCTTTCTATGGAAGAGGATAGGTCTTTGGAATGTTGGGTAATAATATTCCACAGTGAGGGACCAGCAGATGGCATAAAAGTTATGTTGCTGGACCCCCACATAGTCGACCACAGTTCAAGTCCCAAGCCCAGCAGCTTAAAATTCATGCTGGCACCTGTGCGTGCATGCCCAAAATTCCAAGGAAACAGTAGAGGACAAGGGATTGAGGTATGGCCATCACCCTTGGGGGGGGGTGATTTCTTGCTTTCTATCTATCTGTTCCTCTGTCTCTCTCTTTCTCCAACAAGTGTATTTGCTCTATAGCAAAATTCTCTCTAAAAAAAAATAAAAATAAAAATAATATTCCACAGTGATAGAAAAGATATTCAATTAATAGCAATAGTTTTTCCTGTGGCTGTGCATACTTGTATATCTCTGTGTTTGTATATATACATATATGTAAATACATTTATTTTGTTATTGATTGATTTTTAAATGCGTGTATGTGCAACTATGAGAAAGTTTCAGACACATACACAGAAAAATGGCTTATGCCTCAGTCTCAGGATTTTTCCCAAGGTGGAAGAGAGGGATGTACCACATACCCAGTTCTCCCTAAGATCTGTCATGTCAGGAGACTTTTGCTTCTTCTTAGGTATCAAGTTCTTTCATGTTTATCACTTGCAAACTTATCAAAAAGCATAATTTCTTGTATAGTTTAGAAGATATTTTTCTTGGCTACTTTGGAACACACAAACCAATGTTTTAAGTATGGGTGAAGTGAGGCCAGCAGGTGGCGTGGGGGAAAGGACATGACTCCCACATGGTTCACCATGGTTCGAGTCCCAGACCTAGAAGCTTGCTTTCTCCCTTTCCCCACCTCTCTGTCTTCCTGGTCAAATTACAAAAATCATAAGAAATTAATAAAATTAAATAAATATTTTTTATTTTGTTTTTCAAAGAATTACTTATTTTAATTTTATTTATTCATTCATTTATTTTAATTTGATCAGAGAGAGACACACAGAAAGAGAGAGAGAAAAAGAAAGCCACCAGGTTCAGGACTTGAACTGTGTTCAGCCATGTGGGAGTGTCCTGTGCCTTAACCACCATGCCACACACTGGCTCCAATAATTCTTTTAAAAAAATGAATAATGGCAAAGTATTACAGCTCTACCTATAGTACTTGCCTTACTCTGCACAATCAGAAGATACAGGACAGAGCTCAGAGAAGTAAACAGTAAAAAAATCTTCCAGGGTAAATCTAAAAGGTGACTACTTTGAGAAATGCCAATCTCAGATGTGACCACATGTATCATTGGTCAACGACTACAAAATACTGTGTGTTCTTCTACAACAATTGATTTGTATACAATTTTTTCATTTGGTAAATATTACTGACAATATTAGAAAAATTTTATGCATACTAATTTTTGTATACTTTCCACATAAAATTATTTGTATTTACAATGCAAAAAAAAGTGTAAAGTTTAATGTGGTACTTTTAAAAATAAGTAACCATTATTCATAGAACAGTATAATTTTTAATTTTTTTTGTTAGAGGTTTTTGCTATAGAGTGCTTGCACTCGCCAGAAAGACAAAGAGAGACAGAGAGACAGAAAGCAAGAAATTATCACCCAGGGGGGAATGGCCACGCCACAATCCCTTCTCCTCCATTCTCCTCTCGGGATCTTGGGCACGCATGCACATGCGCCTGGCATGAATTTAAGTCACCCGATCCGGGACTGGAACGACGGTCGACTACATGGGAATCCAGCGACATAGCCATTACACTAACTGCTGGTCCCTTAACGTCTAAAGACTATTTAAAATTGTATTTTACCAATTTAATAAAATGTTTCATTGAATTACAAAAAGAAAATGCAGGTGAAGGAGAGCTATTCTATGGCTGAAAGGGGAAACTGGTCTTATTAAGCTCTTTTGACTAAGCAAATATTTCTTGAAGACATTGAAAACATTGACAGGCCAAGTATCTATGCCTGATACATAGTGACCGCTCAATAAGTCTTTGTGGCTGTTTTATGAAATCAATGTCACTCCCCTTTGAACTCTATAATTAATAAAGTCACATGGATAAATAGCACATGAGAAACTACTTACCTTCCAGTTCTTACAGACAGATTTTGGCCCAAAAATCTCAATAAGTAAGAAGGTCCATGGTCCCAAATGCAAGTAGCTGCCCAAGCCTCTGCAGATTTTGCAAGATTTTCATCCCAAACCTGTAGAGGTAAAAAAGCCTTTAGCTTTATCAGGTTCTCTAGTAACAAACAAAAAGCACAAGGAAAGGAATATTGTTTCTATTTCCTAGAATTCTTCCAATTCTGGTTCCTGAGACTATTTTAACTAAAAGAAAGCGAATTCAGATCTTAATTATTCAAAGTTCTATAATGCATATGATTTTACTCCAAAAATATTTTTTGTCTTTACAATATCATCTAGATCCAACATCCAGACATCAGTTTTAGTAAAGGGCAGGTTAACAAAATACCACATCTAGTTATGATGGGAGCATAATTATAATTATACTGACTAGTCAAATTTGAATCCAGTAAAGTCAATGGATTTTTCTAGAGGACATCTTCACAGCAGAAGAAATAATCACTTCCATTAGTATTTTTATATTAAGTTTTACTAAAGGGTGCATGTGCTTGCCAGACAGAGAGAAAGTGAGATATCACCCCCATACCTCAATTCCTTCTCCTTCTTCTCCTTCATTCTCTCAGGATTTTGGGCACACACACATTTGGCATATTTGTCTTTTTCATTTTTTTTATGAGAGATTTTTGCTATAGGGCACATGCACTTATGTACTTACTGGGGAGACAGAGAGAGACAGGAAGACAGAAAGCTAGAAATCATCCCCCAGGGGAGATGGCCATGCCACAGTCCCTTCTCCTCTATTCTATTCTCTGAATTTTGGGCGTGAATGCACATGTGCTCACCCTGAGTTTCAAGTTGTTAAGTCTCATACTCAAACTGCAGTTGATCATGTGGGAGTCCAGAGGCTTAACCACTATCCCACCTGTTTTCAAGACACTGAGTCAATGCAGTTAGCCAAGTGGAATCCAACTGCCTCAACATCCCTGCCACCTGTTGGCCCAGTAATTAATATATTTGAATAAATGAATGATATATCGAATTTATTCAAATTGATTTATAAAAAATAGTAAGTCCTACTATTATATTACAACTTTTAAAGGTTAAACTATATTATAGTATTATAAATCTACTGAAGTCTTTGTATCTTACACCATTCAACTCTTTAGTAGCACTAATTATGATGGAAGAATTTACATGTTTGGTTGGTATGAACTAGAAACAACTATACCAAAAAGAAAGACTTTTAAGTTGAGTTGTGTAGGTAAATTTTATGACATTATTTCCTAAATTACTTATATTATTTATATGTTATTCCGTTCAAAAAGATACAGTATTCAAATTGTGATGACAGTGGTTAGTAAAATATTTTTCATGAAGAAGGAAGTGACAGTTTTATAATTACTCAAATTTACATGGCGCTTCATATGAGAATCTCTAAAACAGTCTTTCTACAGGTTTTTGCTTGACTACTCTTCACGGTCCCTTCATTTATCATTCTTTTGGTGACTTTCTCTTCCATCAAGTGCTGTCCGACTAAGCTGGAGTTAACAGCCATGAACTCTAATGTAATGGCAAGAGAATTCCTGGGCTTCTGTGACCATAACACTGAAAAGGATTTGTTTTCCCCAAAGATAATGAATTACATAGGTTTATTTCATATAACAATGCATTTAAGTGAAAGAAATTTAATTTAATGACTTTAAAATAAAATGAGAAGGCCAGATAGTGCAGTGGTAATGCAACTGAACCGGCATGTGAAAGTCCCAGGATCGCATCGCAGAGCCACCTTGGACAGGCTAGGTGCATGTGTGTGTGCTTGGGATTAAGGCTAGCTCAGGCTGGGGGTGGATCGTGTCATGGACACCCTGTTGGTGATACTTCTCTCTCTCAGAAAAATATAATAAATACACTAAGGAAAAAATACAATAAAAAAATAGATGAACTCTTCAAAAGATGGTTTTATCCCAAGAAGCCGTGGTAGCTACCCTCAAAAGATCTGTTAGTTACACAGAAATTGGCTTAAATTATAGGGGGAAAAAACAGTTGTTTTACATAAAATGATCCAGAATTGCATAAAATGTACCCATTTTCAAAATTCAGATGAAATCTTAGTATACTAGAACTGAAATAAACTTTTTTTTTTTTTTTTTGGAGAGATTTTCGCTATAGGGCGCGTGCGCTTGCCAGACAGACAGAGAGAGACATAGAGACAGAAAGTGAAAAATCACCCCCCAGGGGGGATGGTCACGCCGCAATCCCTTCTCCATTCTCCTCTCAGGATCTTGGGCACGCACGCACACGCGCCCGGCATGAGTTTTAAGCCAACGGGTCCAGGACGCACACCGCGGTCGACTACGTGGGAGTCCAGTGACATAGCCATTATGCTAACTGCTGGTTCCCTGAAATAAACTTTAAAAAAACATATTGTTTGGCTGATAATTGATGTATCTACTTTTTATTCTTCTGACAAAATAGTAATGAAATATGGATTTATGAACTATTAATTATATTTCACCAAAATAAAATACAGCATAATTCATTCACAAAGCAATTTCAGATGGAGAATATCAACCAATTATGTACTCTGAAAGACTCTTAACTAATTAGAATTATCTGAGAAAAATAGATGTAGACATTATTTACATACTGAACAACAGTGTACACTCAGAGCCATAGCTGCTAAAAATAATTTCCTCTAATTTTGTTCTAAAATATCAGAACACACTATGGCACAAGAAGTTCTAAATTGAAAATCAGGGATCTGTGTTCTAATCCCAGTTCTATCGCTAAAATCACCTGTGACTGAAGCCCTATCAATGGTCATCTTTATCTCCCTGTTAATTTATCTGTAAAAGGAGGAGCCTGGATGAGATCATCTCTAGGGTCTCTTTCATCTTCAATGTCTCAGGATTTAAATATACTTACGTAACCCCAGCATCAGAGCCAGGGAGATCCATGTGTTATTGGTCTGTGATTAACTTTATTCTGGCCCTTTCCATACCAGAGAGACAGAAAACCTAGATTCTTTTCAAAACAATTTAAAATATTCAAGACATTTCTTTCCCTCTTACATCACTTTATCAATCAAAATATGTTGATTTCCTTAAATATGTACCATTTAAAAGTAACCATAGGGTCAGCAAAGGTATGGTGACTAAAGTGGCTAGATCCCACAGAGCCAGCTTGATGGTTCAAGTCCCTGACTTAGCAGCTGGGCCCATTTTTTATATTGCAAAGATATACAGTGATTAAATGTGTGTGTGTGTGTGTGTGTGTGTGTGTGTTCATGCTCAAAATCCCAACAAGAAAATGGAAGAGGGATTGCAGCATGGTAACCCCCCCCCCCCATGGGAGGGGATTTCTCTCTTTCTCCATCTCTCTCTGTTGAGTACATGTACCCTATAGCAAAAACATTTTTAAAAATCTCTGATAGATTAATACAGTTTATAGTATAGTTTAACAGATATAGGGGAAAGCAGTATAGCATAGTGGTTAAGAGCACACTCTGGAATTTCAGAACTGTGTTCAAATTTTGATGCTGTGTGACTTTGTACAAGTCACTTAACCTAGTTCAACTTACTTCCTTATCTATAAAAATGAGAATAATAGTGTTATTTTATAAGGTAGATATGACAATTAAACATAACAATGAGCTATCATTCTTATCCCAATATAACAGAAAAATTTTAGTCGGACATGACAATCTTGTGAAATTCATGCCAGGGGCTGAGTAATCATCTTTTTCTTTATTTCATGCTCATCACTTATTCTTTTAGTAATGAATTGTTTAATTCTGAAATTACCTTATGTTTGCTAATCTATACACTGGGTCAAGAAGCTCTAAAGCTGGATTTTTGTTTTTCTTTTCTTTTTTCTTTAATATTGCCAGAAGCTTGCCTGAGACAGAGAAACAGAAAGGGAGACAGTACCCCTCAATGAGATGTGGTCATGTTTCCTTCTCTTTACCATTTCTCTATCCTGTTAGAATCTGGGGCACCCATGTACTCACATCTAGCATGTTTTTCAAGTTTCTGAGGCAGAGATTCAAACTGCAGTCAAGCATGTGAAATCTGGTTACATGAGGCCAACCCCAGATTTTAAAAGTGCTATCTTAGGGAATTCAATTTTCACATACTTTTTTTCACATACTTCAGTGTAGTTGCAATTATATGCCATAATTCATCCCCAGTTAGCAAATGTCCTGCATCAAACATTTTCCATCAGGCTAAATCTGATTCTGTGACTCAAGTTATCACTACACATGAGGCTAATGTGGGACAAACAACTCCTTTACTAAGGCTGTATTACCCAAACTTTCGAGTTTTTTATTTTTATTTTTTTAGTAGCTTTTGACAAGGGTTTTAACCACCAATCATTAATGTGTCTAAAGCCTAGGCAAGTATGTGTATCACCTGACAAAGTTTGCTCTTTGGGGTGGTTTTAGTTTGATATCTGCCAAATTCTACTTCTCATTTCTATTTTTATAAAATTGCTTTCCCCTGTCTTCTAGCAGATTTTTGGCACAATGGTAGCATGAGAACAGGTCCTTAATTGTTGCCTTTCCCACTATCAACAGAAGTTGGAAAACAAAAATTGAGTAAAACCTATACAAATAATGAGGATAACATAACTTTAAAAGAAATTTTGTAAAACATGATACTGATAGGATCATATTAAAGAATATCACCAACCTGAGGAAGTTCTGCGATATCCTTACGAACAGAAAAAATCTCGGCAGAAACCCACTAATACTATCTAGCTTAACGGAAAAAGGACTGGAGATGTAGGCAGACAATAAAAAGACTGTGATGAGACCCTCTCAGAAGCTGAGGGAACTCTGTGTAACTTTCATTTTATTTAAACCTTCTAATATATTTTTAAATAATACCAAATTAGAAATATCAAAATGGCCATTTTTTTGTTTTACTAAATTAAGCTTCATGAAACATTTTCCATCAGGCCTATCCGATTCTATGGTTTGAGTTAAGAATTCATTTGAGGATAATGTCTAAATTCTGAATTGAGTCCCTTTGTGAATATGAGACAAGCTAAATGATTCTCTCAACACCCCAACTTTGACATTGGGCTGGGCCCTAACAGGAATTACTCTATTTCATTC